ACCAAAGCTTTGTCCAAGGATCGTTTTGTGCATCTCAGAGATCTACTTGGAGTAAAGTCAGCCAAAGGGTTAGAAGGGAGTGTTGATGTATAACCCTTTGAGCTGAAGTCCCTGGCGCCAAAGCTTTATTTTCAGTTTGAATTTTATTCTTTTAGTTTAAATGCTATTTCTGCTGGTTGTAATATGGACCGTTGGATCATAGTCCAAGTGGCTTCTTAAGTGTTGTGTTAGATTGTGACAGATGTAATCATCTCATAGGATGATAGTTTTAACGGCTAGGATCAAATCTTGTGTAAAGGCAGTTAGAGAAGAATCTCTCTTCGCTCTCTCCTCAACAGATATATTTTGCTTAGTGAAATAGAATGAATAGTACACACTCTTCAGTTTCTAAATTCAGAGCAACGTTCTCTCTCTTTTTCTCATCTAAGTTTGTTTTCCTTTCTCCCAAACAGATCCAAAATACAAATATAAGTTACAGAAACTATGAATTCTATCACCTTCTCCACTGCTGTCACAATAAAGCTGATCGATCCAACTATTCTCTATGGTTGGCTCAATTTGTTCCTATTCTCAGGAGCCGTGATCTTATGGGAAGTGTTAGTAGTTCAAGTTTGAATTCCGGTTCGCTCAATCATTCCCAACAACAAAAACTTCCAATGTTTTCAAGTTCAACTTTGTCTTTTGATATAGAAAAAATAACCCAATTGATATCTAACTAAAAGAATTATTTAGAAAAACAAAACCAATTAAGAATCTAAAACATATTTAACAGTACATATATTTGACTCGAAATTGAACATGAAGTCGAAACAACTAGGCATTTTTTCTTTTACCCAACTTTGCTTCCCAACTTACCATGAGTATTTTCAAACTGGGTTTTACACATTGTTCTTTTTTAATGTAATATGGTGTGTTATACCTTATCATGTGCTCATGTAAGTTGGGATAGTGGTATTTTGGTTTTCGTTTTCTTTCTAAATTTGTGAACTCTCTTTTGAAAATTATATGCTATCACTATATTGGAATTTGGAAGTAATAGTTCCGGAAAACTGGTAAGAAATTATACCCGGCCAGTTCATTTAATTTTGATTATTAATTACATTAAAGTAGCCAATGACAACCAAATAATACTTGTTGATGGAACTATTGAAAAAAGAAGATTGAAGGAAGCCGATGTTTCATTCCGAAACTAATTCGTAATGGGAGAATAACCAAACTCCTAAACCGTAAACCCTAAACTCCTTATAAGCCCATGGTACTAATATGCTATGGTTGTTATTTTAATTTTCACTTATGATCCAACAAATAGGTCGCACAAAAATTTAGGCTATACAGAGTACAGACTCGTCCATTTCTTCATTTTTTTGGGGAAAAAGTTCACGAAGTGCCCATAGGACATGTTTAATTGTCTAATTAACTAGAAGCATACACGATTAATAAATGTTCTAGATGGGTTTTTCTATATGGAATATTTGATGCTATAAATGTTTTGAAGAAGCAGGACATAGTTGAGGATAGCTAGCCCACTCGTTGAAAAATTTCTAGTTCCGCCCTTGCGAATGTACTTGAGGATAATACAAAAATGCCGAACAAACTGTCTAATGTCTGGAAATTAATTACATCAATTGAATGTTTAATTAGATAATTATTTAATTAAATAATGATTTGTAGGCAATTAACCCCAAAAAAAAAAAAAAAAAAGATTTTTCCCTCCCATAAGTTAATCCTAGAAGATTCGAACATTATTTGAAAAAATGATTGAGATATACCTTTTCTGTGTAGTTGCTTTGATTGGGTCAAGTTATTATATTCAGATAACCTTTGTTGTTGCTTTCAACTTATACATTAATTAACTGACTAACTAACCGACAAGTATTTCCTTTTTAACTTACTATTTCTTTAAAATAATCTTACTCCTCATTGTCTGGAGTGTAGTATGGAAGCTATGCAACTGTTTAAAAAAATTTGGGTCCTTTTTTAATTTTCAATTTGTTTTGGGATAAATGCTCACATTTTAATATATAAAATGATTTATGTGGTAGGCTCAACAACCATACATGCTTTCACGTCACCGGATAAGAATTGTCGACATGTTAGGCAAAAAAATGAACGTATTGAAAATATTTCACATTAAACAATAAAAACTTGCAATAGTGATATCTTGAGTTTCTCCACCAATTAATTTTAAGTTAAATGCTCACATTCTAATGCAACCAAACATGACAACCAAAACAAGCTTCAACACTCTGGTTTTCATGTTTGGCTTGTTGGGAGGACACTAGAGGTGGTGTTATTTATCTTCACAATTTTTCTAATGGATATTATCTCATTGTTTGTCTTGTTTGGTCTTATACATACATGCTTATAATTAGTTTGAGGAACTTCTAGAAGTTCCTACAGAATTCTTTATTCAAAGATTGTAATTCTATTTTATCAATAATATAGAGTATTGTTAAACGAACACTAAAATTAATTAAGTATACTTTATAATCTAAGTACACCTTAATATTTAAATCAAAATATAAAATTAACTAAGTATACCTTATTTAACTACAATAATACCCTTGATACACCCTAATACACCAATTCACCTCTCTAGTATAAGTTTTTTCAATGCCCCCATTTGCTTTTTCTTGGCCTCCCTCTATATTGAAAGCTGACTGAACCTAATGCAAAACATATATCAGTGTTCACAATTTGAAGATTCTTCTGCTTTTGAATTGCTAGCAATACCAGGAAAACATCTAAACAGTAACTAAAGATCGACATTAATTCCCCAATTGAAAACCTTTATCAAGTATGAAACAGTCAAAGATCATTCAAGTGAATCAAGTTCACTACCCAGAAACCCAACACTAAAAATGAACAAGTTGAATGGACAAAATCCTGAGTATGCATTTAGTAACCTGCTACACAAAAAATGAACAAAAATCCAGAACTCCCTTGAAGCCATGACAACCCAAGAACACCCAGCATATGTAACCTGCTACATAAAAAAATGTAAAATAAAAAAGAGAGAAAAAAAAATACCAAACTTTAGTCCATCCCTCATTCTGATCTGAACTTGAAGTTTGATTGGAAATACAGAATGGCCCCTATAAACTTGGAAACTATCCTAAAGAAGATTCCTGAAAATTTCCAGGAGATGTAATAACTTGATTTCCTAAAAACTAATGATTTGGTAAATCGTGGCTTTCGAATACATGTGACTCTAATTTTCCATGTGATTCCATGGACTATCATTAACTTTTCCCTTCGTGCATACAAGTTTTTTTTCTTCTTCCTTTTTCTTTGCTTTTTTTAAAATTATTATACAAGCGACATTCCACTTTGAAAAATACTTTTCTCCTTACTAGGTAAGTAGGAGCTACTACATTTTTACCAATAGCAGTATGATATGTGTGCATAAGTTTATCTTTTTGTGTTTTTGATAAATTACTTTTGCATATATGTCAAACTGTGATTTGCAGGAAGGAGATCTCCTTACCGGTAAGGAGACAAGTAGTATCCTTATGCTTTAATCTAATCTAAATTATGGGGAGATGAATTCAAACTCAAGTGCAGAATATATGGAGCACATCCACTCTAACCAACTTAGCCAAACTCATCTACGCTTTCTTTGCTTTTATTTTTTTTTGGGTGAAAAAGGGGGGTAAAGACCCCAAAAAGGACGAAAAGCAAAAAGCAAAAAGAACAAAAACAACTAAACAGAACTAATCATGCGGGTCTTAGTGACTCCTATTGAGTCATCCATCAGCAGGGGCTCAAGCCAAATCGGAATATCCTCAAGAACCCAGCAGCCCAGATCAATGTCATGGCTCCAAGCAGCCAGTCTGTCAGCTACAGCATTCTTCTCTCTGTAGATGTGGTGAAGTTTACTTCTTGGAAATTGGCTCAGAAGGCTCTTGCAGCTGCTAATCAAACCAGCCAAAGGGTGGCAATGGTTCAGCTCATTACTCAGAATGAGATTTATAGCATTGACAGAGTCCATTTCAGCAATAATATCCAAGACTCCTCTTTTAACCGCTAGATTTAGGCCAAAAAATAAACCCCACAGCTCAGCTTCAAGAATTTGGCCTTTTCCCAAATTGACAGTGAAACCACCAACCCAGTTGCCCATGTGATCTCTGATGACTCCTCCAGCTCCAATGGACCCAGTACTAGTCAAGAGCGATCCATCCACATTTAGCTTTAACACACCATTCTCCGGGGGGGTCCAAGCCAAACTAACTTGGATTTTACCACCTCCCAGTTGATAATTAGTAGAAGCCCTGATCCAATCCTTAGTAGCAGACAGAATCAAATCTCTAGGATTGAAAGGCAACTCCTACTTATTTTTGAAAATAAAATCATTCCTCCATTTCCAAAGATGCCAGCAAATGACACCAAACAAAATTTTCCAAGGGATCTGCAGGAACGTCAATTTAGAGCAAAAATTGCTGAGTAACCAGGGGTGTAGCTCTGCGTGGAAGAATAGAGCATCCTGGTTAGTGTTCAGGAAGAGGTACCAAACCTTTTTGGCTCTAGTGCAGTCCCTAAGAATATGTAAGGTAGACTCCGTATGCCAATTGCAGATGCGACAATCAGGCTCACTAATGAGGAACCTACGGGCTCGCTGCTCATTGGACATGATTTTTCCTTGAAAAGTCAGCCAAAAAAAGTAAAGAATTTTTGGGGGTAATTTGAGTTTCCAAAGGACTTTCCACCAAGGGTTCAACCAATCCATCCCTGAGAAGAGCAGATTATAAGCAGACTTTCTTTGCTTTTATTAAATTGTAAAAAGAGTGATTAATTATTTCTGTAATTAAATATTGTTGCCAGTAAGGCCAACGATTTTCGCCGGCCATTAGAAATATACTTCTTTGATTTTTGACTAGTCAAAACAGTGAAATATTCTCCTCTATTCTTGTTGACCAAAAAGTAATAATAATAATTCTCTTCCATTCTTTGGTATCTCATAGTCTATATATAACTGTTCTTAGCTCTGAAATCACACAACTCAAACTCTCCAATAGCATTTTGCTACAAAATTAACCTACTCATGTCTTTACTTCAATGCCTTGTGCTAATTGTTTCTCTCTCTATCAAAACCTCAGTTTCTTCTGCACACCTGAATATCCCACGGCTGAGTCCAAATGGAGGAACATTTTTACGCGGAAATTATTTTACACACGACCAGCAGAAAACTATGTCTGCTGCTGATCCAATTAATGATTTTGAAACATTTTATTATAACCAAACACTTGACCATTTCAACTTCAGGCCTGATAGCTTCAATACTTTTCAACAAAGATATTTGATCAATTTCAAGCATTGGGGTGGCTCCAATGTTAGTGCACCAATATTTGCTTACCTTGGCGAAGAAGAAGCAATTGATGTTGATCTCTCTATTATTGGCTTTCTCAGTGAGAACGCCCATCAGTTCCAAGCTCTCCAGATATTTATAGAGGTATGTATATCGCATACCGATAGATAGACGTAAATATTCATATCAGTGTTTTCAAAGGCATGCCTTCGCGCGTCTCGGCCCGCGCGTCGGAGCGAGGCGGCAGGGAATCGCCTGAGGCGGTCGGCTGTTTCGCGAGTTGCACGTTTAGCACGGGGAAGGCGTGAGAGGCGTTGCAAGGCGTGGCCAGGCGTAGCGAGGCAGAGCAAGGTGGCGCTAGATCTAGACAATTCTGAACCGGAAGAGATTACGCAGATGAGTCTGCAAAATGGCTGCGAGGAAGATGACTCTGCGAGGAAGAAGACTCGCTTGTTTTCTTTTGTTTTTTTGGTTTAAATGAAATGACGTCATTTCACTTGAGTGTTTTGAAAAATAGAAAACGCAAGCTGTAGCTTTTAGTTTACCACCACTCCCTTTTTATCCACTTACACTCTATTTTTTCTAACAAAAAATGAGTGTATATGAATAAAAGGACTCCCTTTTTATCCACTTACACTCTATTTTTTCTAACAAAAAAGGAGTGTATATGAATAAAAGGGGAGTGAGAAATTCATTTACCAAAAACGTAAGCTGTAGCCTTTTCGACCAAAACAAAAAAAAAATGTAGCCTTTAACGCAAGTTGTAGGCTGTAGCTTTCAGTTTCAATATTAATAATATATTTCTTGCCCTTTTGTTTTTTCGGACTTTCATAAATAAAGACCAAAGATTCTTGCCCTTTTCTAACTCTTGGCAGCTGTAGCCTTTATTATACTTACCTTTTTCTTTTTCTTTTAAATTAATATATTAACACATGGACTTATATATATATATATATATATATTAATGTTCAAAAGGCGTAGCGCGATTAAAACGCTTTGCATCAACGCCTCGCCTTTCAAAACATTGATTCATATATATAGGAAAATATTCTCTTGCCAGATAAACACTGATTAGGGTGAATTCTTATACGTTACTTAGTTTTGAGACTTTTATTTTTCTCATTCTAGCACCGGTACTATGGGAAATCGGTCCCATTCGGATCAAGGGAAGAGGCATTTCAAAATGCAAACACTCTTGGGTACTTCAACTCAGCCCAAGCACTAGCAGATTATGCAGAGGTCCTCATTCACGTAAAGAAGAAACTCCATGCTCAGCATTCTCCGGTGATTGTTATCGGGGGATCGTATGGGGGAAGTGAGTGATTCCATACCCATCTCTGCAAATACGATTGATTAATTAAGTATCCAGAAAGTTTTTGTCCATGTTTTTAATTATTTTTCCTTTCTCATTTTGTATTTTTGATGCAGTGCTTGCTTCATGGTTTCGGCTAAAATACCCCCATGTTGCTCTAGGAGCTCTAGCCTCATCAGCTCCAATTCGTTACTTTGATGACATTGTTCCCCCGGAGGATGGATATTATTCAATTGTTACCAAAGATTTTAGAGTAATATATTTTCCTTTAGTTCACCCGTTTGTCTTAGCATCAATATTTTATTTAATTAAAAAAAAAACTCTCAATTACTATTTATTGGCATGCATGTGTAGGAAGCGAGTGAGACTTGCTACCAAACTATAAAGAAGTCGTGGTCTGAAATTGATGCAATTGCTTCTCAGCCTCAAGGCCTCTCATTTCTTAGTGAGAAATTTCACACTTGCAGGTAGGTGCTCGCGGAGCTAGATAATTCTGATGATTATAGGTGTTATTCTACTTAATCAAGAAATTCCACGCTTGCACGTAGCCCTCTCGATTCTTTATTTTTTTCATTTGTCATTTTCATGTTGGCATTTAAACAATTATAGTAGTTAATTCTAATTTTTAAGTCTTTTCTCTTTTGTTCTATTGTCATTTACATAATAACAAGAGTTAATTCTAAAGATTAATCTGTCATTCTCTTTCGTTTGCTTGTTACGTAGGATATTTATACATAATGACGAGAGTTATGGTTTAGGGTTCAAACTCCTACTACATCTTGGAAGTGTGTGTAAAAAAATGACGAGAGTTAATTCTGACTTTTATTGTCATTACCCTTTTCTTTTCTAGGCCCTTGAACAAATCGTCTGAGCTGAAGAACTACTTGGATAATTTGTATTGTGAAGCAGCTCAATACAATAGTCCACCAACATATCCAGTCACTGTTGTATGTGGGGGCATTGATGGAGCTTCTGGAAATGATACTCTTACTAAAATATTTGCCGGCGTTGTTGCATATACTGGAAACAGGTCATGCTATGTTAATCAACCCAGAAATTTATCTGAAACAGATATGGGCTGGAGTTGGCAGGTAATAAATTATAACTATTCACGTAACTTGTCACCTTATCTTAATTATTGATATGAATAATTATGATCTACTTAAAAAGTATTAACAATGGTCACGGTGACAATTACCAACTTATTTAATTTAATTTCAACCCTATATATCATTTATATGAACACAATAAACAATTGTGTTCCATAAAATGGAATATATTCCTTTAGCCAGCAGAGTTATGGATACGTAACTTTGCGCATGCGCAACTCTGCATATTTTTTGGAGAGTGTATGTTCTTGATGTTGATTGTGGGATCACATTGACCTGCGCGCATGCTAGCTAGGTTGCACATGTTACTTTTCCATGGTTGTTAAGTCACCATTCAAAAGGAATATTGCCTTTTCTTTTATACATGTTGCTTAAAATTTGTTGCAATATCTACAAGCCAAGTTTTATATATCGAGAGAGAGAGAGAGATATATATATATACAAACTATACAACTCATCACCTATATTTCAAAATAACTAAAATAGAAATTCAATAAACTTTAAAAATATATATAAATAGTATTTTTCCAAACAGAAATTCAACATAATATAAACGAAAACTACTTACTTTCTTTCTTTGACAAATAGTATTTTTCCAAATAATGTTTATTAAATGGTTGAACAGAAAATAACTTGTATGCCACGGCCGTTATATCATGTGGTATACACATGCTTTTATTAAAATATTCTTACATAATCTTATAAAATCCTTTTGACCAAAAAAAAGATGATGTAGAATCCTACTCATTTCCCAACTGTATTTCTCCTCAACTCTCCAAGTAAATAGTTAGCAAAAAGTTTATGAGATGAACCTCGAAACTTCGAGGGCAATTTATTGAAAGCTTTAACTAATACAATAGGGTGATGACTAATAATTTATTGAAAGCTTTATTGAAAGTTTTTTTTCCCCGAAATCAAACAAAAAAGAAAAGAAAATGCATCTTTATTAAATCACACCTTATAACATGGTGATGACTAATAATTTGTGGTGTATTTAGACATGTAGTGACATGGTGATTCCGATTGGCGTCGGCAACGACAGCATGTTTCCAGCTTACCAATTCGACCTAAAAGACTACATCAAATCCTGCAAGGCACAGTATGGCGTCCCTCCTCGGCCTCATTGGGCCACTACTTACTTTGGAGGCCATGTATGTATCAATCAACTATCTTATAATTATATATATATTCTCAAAATTATATCACTCTTCTTTTTTCTTCTTCTTCATATTTCAAAACTAATGCTAGAAAAAATTAATTGTGATGCCAAACAGGATATAAAACTAGCACTTGAAAGGTTCGCTAGCAACATTATTTTCTCCAATGGGCTAAGAGATCCTTACAGTAGTGGCGGGTAAGCATATGAACATGAATAAACAACTTATGTTATGTATTACTTGACCAAGTTTAACAACCGTTTGTTTAATTCTCATCGCAGAGTGTTGGAGGACATATCAGACACCCTCGTTGCCGTCCATACAAAGAATGGTACCTTCCAAAATCACTATTTTCACAGGGGCTAAATCCGAAAACAAAATGTAACATTTCAAATATGTTGCATTTGAGAAAGTTTTCTCGGGGCAGCTCATATACATTCTCATACTATCGTTCCACATTACAAAAAAGCATAATTAATAGTCATTGACATTCGTAATAAATGATAAGGTGGCTAAAAACATTATTCATGCCTAATAGCTAACAATCACGGTTATTTGTACACATTGTGCTATTAGACATTAATAGTGTCTTTACCCACCTCTTCGGATATCAATGACTAAAATGTTGTTTTCTTGTACGTAAGGAAAAAAACCAAAAAGAGATAGAGATATAAAATAATTCTTTTATATTATAATATGAAATTAAATTGTATTTTGCAGGGTCTCATTGCTTGGATATACTTAATGCAAACAGCATTACTGATCCAGGCTGGTTGGTAAATCAACGCAAAATTGAGGTGAAGGTCATTAAACGTTGGATAGCCAAGTACTATGCCGACCTTCAGGCATTTAAAAAATAGATAAGATGTCTCATGGAAACTTGATTAGGGCAAAGATCCTTTGCTAAAGACAATTAAGGGTGGGCTTGCAGGCCAAAAGTTGTTAATAACATGCATGTAATTTTGCATTTAATTAGGTCAATCACCCGTGTTCTCTCTCTCTCTCTCTTTCTTTTGGATGTCCTCAAACTTTGTCTCAGTATCAATGCCATATCCCATAAGTTTCTGTTGTCTTCTTATTCTTTTACAAGAAATATTCTTTTCTCAAAATCTTACCTAGATTTCTAAAGATTCACCCTGAAACATATACACCCTCAAATGGAATGTAAAGATTAAAGGAGATGGAATATTCATTCTGTTATTGATATTCTGCTGTACATAATACTATCCTTTATATTCTAGGTTTACAATCTCCTATTCTAGCATAATTCCTAATTAAGGCTACAATCTAGATTTGACCCATAAATCTTGGGGTCTAATATAGGAAAGACAATTACAATATTTACAATCCTTCAATGACAAGATATGATTTCCAACACTCTCCCTCAAATTGGAGAGTGAATGTTGTGAAGCCCCAACTTGCGACTTAAGTAATTGAAGGCATCTCCTCCCAAGGCCTTCGTAAATATAAATATAGGAAGGAGAAATTACACCAACTTGTAGTTTCTCTCTCACAATGTGACAATCAATTTCAATGTGCTTTGTTCTTTCGTGGAAAACTGGATTTGCAGCTATATGTAGTGCAGCTTGATTGTCGCAAGGCAAAAGTGCAAGACCCTTCTATGTAACTCTTAAGTCTCGCAATATATAGCGCAACCATGTAATTTCAAGACATGTGACTGCCATGGCCCTATACTCTGCTTCTGCAGATGATCGAGCAACAGTTGATTGTTTCTTTGATTTCCATGAGACAAGAGAATTTCCTAGAAAAACACAATAACCTGTTGTTGATCTCCTTGTTGTTGGACAACCTGCATGATCTGAATCGCAATAAGCTCTCAACTCAAGATTGTTCACAGCCGGGAAAAACAAACCTTGACCAAGTGTGCCTTTAATGAATCTTAAAACACGAAGTGCGGCCTCCATGTGTGGTTTTCTGGGTTGGTACATGAACTGACTCAAAATCTGAACTGAATAAACAATGTCTAGCCTTGTGACAGTAAGATAAATTAATCTTCCTACCAACCTCCTATATCTCATCAGATCGTTGAGAAGATCACCATTTGTGGGTTTCAATTTCACATTTTACTCCATTGGGAATTTTTCTGGTCGTGCACCTGTCAAGCCTGCATCTTGTAAGATGTCTAAGGAATATTTCCTTTGTGACATAAAAAGACCTTTCTTAGATCATGCCCAAAAAATACTTCAAGTCACCAAGATCCTTGATGTGAAACTGTTTGAGAAGGAAAGATTTAAGACGTTCCATTTCTTGAAGATTATTGCCTGTAATGAGAATATCATCAACATATATGAGCACACCTGTAAAAGAATCTCCATTAACCCTGGTAAAAAGAGAATAGTCAGCCATAGATTGTTGAAAGCCCGCTTTCTTAATAGCATGGGAAAATTTGGAGAACCAATATGGGATGCCTGTTTAAGCCCATAAAGAGACTTATTCAGCCGACACACTAGATTCTCCCCCTGTCGGCAAAGACCAGGAGGAGGGACCATATAGACCTCCTCCTGTAAGTCACCATGGAGAAAGGCATTTTGAACATCAAGTTGGTGAATAAACCAATTACGAGCAGTAGCAACAGATAAAAGGCAGCGAAGAGTAGTAATCGTGGCAGTAGGGGAGAAAGTCTAAGTGTAATCAACACCCTCAATTTGGATGTAGCCTTTGGCGACGAGGCGAGCCTTGTAGCGCTAGGTGGAACCATCTAAATTGTATTTAATTTTATAAACCCATTTGCAGCCAATGGGTTTGTGACCAAGTGTTGTGTAGATACAGCTGCACCAAAATGGATTCAGTTGCATCCACAACTTGTGATACTCGCAAGTGCACGAGCCGTTCGGTAGTATAGCGTATGTAAGTGCGAGGTCGATCCCACGAGGATTGGTGATTGAATGATCCAATTCATTTCTCCTACACAAAACAGAAATGAAAAAGAAAGGAAATAAATAAAACAAGGAAGAAAGAAAATAACTAACTCAAGTAGATAAGTTCCCAAGTTCAATTAGATTAACGGATTGATTCTAGCTAATGTATGATTAAGCCATGGTGTGTGGTCATAACCTTGTGTTCCTAATTCCCTAATTTGATCATTTGTTGTCTAACCTAAAATTAAGCATTAGGAACCCATTAAGCATAGAAGAACA